ATGACCAATATAATTTATCTCCAATGGATGTGAAAAGAAATCAACCAAGATCTCAGTTTCACTGGACAGACAGACACACAGACCACAAACTGTGGGAATTTATATCTTAAGCTGTTATCCTGAGCCACAGCAGAGGCTCAGGATTGAGCTGACAAAGACAACTGCAGCCCYCTACACCACAGCTGAGGCAGGTTGGAATCATGACCTGCTAGCACTCACAATGCCTGTTCAGTTGATTAATGACTTTGGAGACACTGGTCCCCTAGTTCTCTGACAGCCAGAGCAACTCATTATGCCACTACTTTAGACTGTGCTAGCTGCACATGACAAAAGGAAAAGTCCCGTGAGGTCATATTACTCAGCTCCCTCAGGGGCTAATTCAACACTTCCCTTTTCATAGTGCCTCATTCAGTCCAATTACAAGCCTCCCAAGCAAAAAAGCTCACACTTTTCCTTCTGTGCAACCGACTGATCTCAGCTTATCAATCTTGAAAGAACCATCATCTATTCCAATCTCTTTCCAAACACAGTTTATGGGTTATGCTGTATGAAATAGGCTATATCTTGAACAAAAATAGCAGGTCTCAATTTAGAAACATTTAGGACATTTAACCACCAGTGAGAAAASTGTGCCACTGCTTAATTGCCCCCAGAGTTAAATTCCTGCACTTCAGTATTTCAGCATCTCAAGATTCTGTTGCTCATCACTTCTGCAGCAAAGAATAAAACAGCAGAGAATGCTTTAGTACAGAAAAGGGATATTTTTAATCACTTAAACATTTAAAATCCCGAAAAGCTGTGATTGCTACAAAGCATTCAAAAATATAAGCGACTTACAAAAGCAGAGAAGTGGCCTACTSTATGACTCAAAATTTGTCCTAGTTTTCATCAGCCCCACAAAGGGATGCTTCTAAATATGAGGTAAAAAACTTCTACAATTCCAAAATACCAATTCACGCTGTTCTCTTTATCTTTTTGTCCAGGAGTACTGGATATAGGCACATTAGATGCACATACATTCAAAAATCTATGTGACAGCTGAGAAGGACATGTTCCTAGGTTGTCTCTCAGCACCACAATTTCTTAGAAATAACYTTATTGTCTCTCAGCACCACARTTTCTTAGAAATTATCTTAGCAATGGTTCTCAAGACCAGCTGCAGAATCTCTCTTCACATTTAGTTTTCTCTTGCCTCCTTACTGAATGGCAGAAATCAGGATGTAAGAATCAAAGTGAAGTGTGAAAGAAAACTTGTAGCTTAGTTCTGTCTTTGGTTGATGTTGTGCCAATCCTGTATTCCTATATTCCATCCCATATTTTGGGCATACAAGCCCAAAAGGTGCCTGTGTCTTTAAATGTGACCCAGGAGAAGGGGCAGGGGCAGCGCAGGCAGTTTAAATGCCGGGGCTGCCACACAGCTGTTTGCTTTTGGACCTCAGTTCACTGCATGTGGCGGAGTTACATTGTTGCCGTTTAGCTAGCTCGTGTTTGTTAGCTTGGGCAAACAACTCTCCTTGGACCGCCACCGCTTCTCCGACTCATGTGATTTTTCTTCTGGAGCAATTTGGCGGCCGGCAGGGACAAGCGGCGCAGCTCCATCTTGTCCTGGAGTCCGGAAGAAGCCAAGCCGGCAACAGAAAAGCACATCGAGCCCTCTGTTTCATCCACCGAGAGGACAGGACTGCTCCAGGTTTTGCCACTGTTGCCAAGTGGCCGCATGGACTCTTTTTTTTTTTTTTTTCTTTTGTTTCTTTTTTCCCTGGGACAGGAGCCACACCATCTTTTCTCCGCATCATGTGGGGAAGCAGCTGTGGGGGGAGGGAGCAGTGTGCGTTCCTGGTCCTTTAAATATCTAACATTCCTTTTTATCTGTGTCCTGTGGGCACCTTGTTTCGTTAATAAACTACTACTTTTTTTCTCTCTTCACTTTTGCCCAAACATCTGTTTTATATTGGTGGGAAAAAATTATCAATGTTTTTCACTTCAGAGGAAACATTTACTCTGTAAAGTTTTTCTCTGAAAAACATTGTCTCAAACCGAGAYAAGTTCACTCTATAAACACATGTAAAACTCAYGTTTCACATTGTCTGTTGTGACCAATTTCTAACCCTGGAACTCAAAAATCTACAGAATCACATTGCCTAAAACTTCTTTCGTTCTTGATGGCACTATTATCTCTCCAGTTACTCTGTGGATTCTTCTGCCACACCGGGCATTAGAAACTATGTAAGTCAATGTATTACTTTCCAAGATGTAATCCCCTGCCATAGCTYATTTTATCCTTGAACATCAGTTTATAGTTTCTCTAGGGCTGTTAATGTGTGTGTGACTCATGGAATGCTTTCTGTAAATCTCTAGAATTACCCAGTTTAATGATGCTGTTTACTTCTTGCATTTAAAAGTTACATAAAATGATATGAACCTTAAGAAAGTATTTTCCAGAGTAAGTTGGTTTGGATCACAACACAATTCAGTAACCATGAAAAAGTATTGGAAGGAATGCCTGYGTTCGAACATGGGCAACACAAAACAGATGTGATCCGGTTCTGTAGTGCTTTACAAACCTTAATGGAATTYGTCATTTCACCTAAATTATTATAAATATAATATATTGTTCATATTATATATAGATTATATTATTTATAATCTGCAAATTCATTGTATTTCAAGGTTTCCTATATTGCTGAGAAACCACACCAGAAAACACTAAACACTCCCCTGCCCTGAACTTACTTCACTGTTTAATATTGTAAGCCCAAGCCAGAATCACTGGCAACAGTCAGATTCTAAATGCCTCAATTTTTGCAACACAGGCTTTGAAAAATAGTAAACATATTTCATTTACACCTCACATCTGTTGTTTCACCTGTCTAGAGTAACTGCAAGTATTTTGTCTCATACTATTGCTGTACTCCTTCATAATTCATGAGTCTTAACTAGTCCTATCCAACAGGTTGTTTGCTTTTACTCTTAGCGAATACCCTTTYACTTGGAATTTGCAGTGTTTTATTTATCAGCTGGTAATCATTACCATCATTCACCTTCCTCTCTCATCTACTTAGTATTTTGCTTGCTGTTTTCAAACCATTTGGTGATTCCCTAGGATTTTTTTCATGCTTTAAAAAAATCGTGGGAGTGAAGTAATAGATCTGTTAGCTAATTCCTTCAGGATCTGAAGGCAACATGCAATACAAGCCTGCTGGTCTGTACCTAGTTCAATGCTTAAGTTATTTCTACATCTGTTTTTTCCCGTTGTTTCATGTTTGCAAGCTTGCCATCGCTACACAGATATTAAAACATWTTTTTTCCTTAGTGTGTGTACTAGGACTACACACAAGCAGCTTAGTCATTTTGCAACYAATGTGGCTTTCAGTCCCCTTCTCCTCTCATTAATGGACTTTCTCACAAATATTTCTTTTTCTTCAATGCATTTGTATCTCCCTCTCTAATCCTATTGACATTAGCTTATTCTGAGCTTTCTGTTGCCTTATCTTAGTAACAGCATGTTCCTGTCTGGTTTTCTTCTTTTCTAATTCCAGTGCTGGTTTTTGAGCTTGCAAGGAGGGAACTTAGTCCTTTTGTAAACTCTGTGTTTGAATGACCTCTCGCAAAGCTACATTCTGCATCTGCTATCTCACGCTTCTCATTCTAAAGTGCTTGTGACTGTTGAGCTCTTGTTTTAMAGCTCTACAGGATTTCCTTCCCATATTTTGGGCTTAGTGTTAGTTACCCCCTCATTTGTTAAAAAACTTCTCATTAGCATTTTCTGCAAAATGCTTGAATAACCTGTTCATTTGGTTGCAAGATAAGTAAAAATGTATGCTCTCCCTCATACTCATTAAGAGTTTTAAAAGCTCTATGTAACAGTTATTAACTTAGTTGACAATGACCCRTGAGAAATCATAGTGCTTGAAGTCATGTAATTGATCTAGCTAAGTCTTCTGGCCTCTCTGGAGTTAGGCCTATACCCACTGACTAAATGCTGCGTTCCAGTTTGATTCTCAGGGAAGCACAATGGTGAAAGGCAGCTGGGTACAGAACAGATATAGGGCCTTTTCAGATCAGATGGCCACATCAGTAATTCCAAATCTCCTATTTGATACAAGCTCATCTTTTTCCCCAGAACACAACCAGGCAAGGCAAACAATTACTATGAAGGATGGGCTTGGAGGATGGGCTTGCTGTACCCAAGAGAAGTAGAGCTGGAGTTAATCATCTTTACTACTCCCAGGAAATGATGAGAGGGGCAGATTGCAGGGTTTGTAGATATGAGAGCAATACTTGTCTGGCGATGAGGAAGGGGGAACTCTCCTCCATTAAACTTACCACGTAATTGTACTTATACTTCAGATTCCAGCGACAGATGGGACACTGGCCAGAGGGGTTTGGAGGAGGTGGTGCTTCAGCTTCCTCTATAATTCTCCCTTCAATCTAGGAAAAAATTAGAAGGATATAATGATAAGGCATAGTTTAAAGATCTACCTGCACCTGGGACTCAACCTGTGAGTTAATACTTTTCATCAAGTCCATAATACRTTGACCAGTTCTGTGCAGGTGTAAGGGGAACAGTATCTGCATTATCCAACTCACTTTTATACAAATATACTAAACCCTTTGGTATGTTTATGCCACAGACTATGGGAAGGACAAATTCAAATGGCATAAAAAACCCTTCGGCAAATTCTTGCACATGTTTTACCAAATGTAAACTAGTTGATAGTCAGTGTGAAGTTCTCATATTTACCTGAATTCCATTTATTGCAGTACTCTTTTGAACCTCCATGCCTTGAAACTGCAGTGGCCCCTTAGTCAAACGCTTTAAAGTAACTTTTTGTTGTGAATATGAGAATACCACAGAATAGCAGATTCATGTTGCAGTTGAAAACATGTAGGGGTTTGCTGAATTATAAATCAGCAGGGAAAATTYTGAGCAAAATTTAAATGTAAGAAAAGATTGTTAGGATATATCTGTGGGGCGTGCAGTTTTCTTTTATAATACCAGTATTTTATCCCATTTAATTCTCTGAACAATTCTTTTATGAGATTATAAAATGATCTTTTCCACATCACTACAAAGTGATGRCATTTAATACTCAAGTTTTCTCACAAGTAACATGCAAAGATATGTAGGAGGTATGTAAAGGAAAACCTTGACAAATTGTTTCCTAAATGTAGATGTGTTAGAAATATGTAGTCTATCTACATGTCTACATGTGCACGTGTCTTTTTTTTTTTTTTTTGAGGACTTACTAATAGAAGCAAGAGCTATCTCAAATTGTACCCAAATTAACCGAAGAGACAATAAAACAAAACCAGTTTTTTTCTCCAAGATATTTTGGAGTTTCCTCTAGTCAAATTAGGATTAAAACCAGATTCTGAACACCAGCTGCCAGCCTCAAAGRGCGCAAGTACCAGAGAATTTGAAAAGGAACCCTGGGTGGAATGCAAGGTTACTTTTAAGAAACCATCRGGTTCTGTGCTGATAACCTGTGAAGAGAAAAGCATGGAATTTCCTGTAAATGTGCATGGGAAGCTGGCATCCAGCTGAAGTTGCAGAAGTATTTAATATTCCGAATTTCTCCATTTTTGATGATAAAATGGAAACAGGTAAGTTACTCATAGTTTAAGCATCTCAGTACCTCAAAGAGACAGAATTGTAAATTTTTAAGTAAGATTCTTCCCCCCGCAAATAAACAGCCAGTTTTACAAAAACAAGTACTTAACTATGAACATAAGATGCAGGCTATATCTAATTTTCTATTAATCAATGAAGCTATTTTCAGGGAAACTGGTATATCTGGTCTTGATTCTTGCCAGTCTGGCTTCAGACTGTACTTTGACTGTAATTGCATCTTGGAAATAAAAAGATTCAGAATGCTGTGTCAACATCAATTTTTCTTGAGATAAAATTCATTATACAGGTTTTGGCACTTATTCCCCAACTGCTGAGGACTTCTATACTGTTAATCCACCCTGTTGCTATTTTTCTGTTAAACAACTAAGAGGGATTGTAGGGGCTCTACATTCTCAGTATGCTGATGCAATCYGTATTTTTCTGGGATTCATTCATCYRGTTCACATCAAACGCTTCCTTCAATACTGACTGAAAACAAGGACACACAAAGATGAGCAGAGGAAGATGGATTCAGGGAAGACTGATGCAGAATTGTCAGGATAAATGCAGTGACCAATGGATACACTGAGAAACATGTCAGCTCTTTCGTTTCTCAATTTACACCATTTTTGACAACAGTCTCCTCATCTAGGGGTACTGATGGATTCCAGACTGATGCTAGCATATTACACAGCCAATATATCAAGATGTCCAGAAAGAGTTATTTTCATAAAGAACCCTGCTAATGTAATATTTACTCTTTTAGTTCAAGCCTCAGTTAATGTTTTGGAATTTTGAGATTGTAATTTACATCCCCTTTGAAATGGACTGAGTGCCAAAGACAGCAATCCACTCAGTGTGTTTTGTTGATGCGCACACTCCCCTCTTGTTTTGGTTRAAACAACTTCATGTCACACTTGCAAGTCTTCTCTTCAGGTTTCTGGTCAAATATTAGTAGTCTGGTACTTGAAGGCAAGAAATAGATGCTTTCTATTGTACCGACTGTCACAGCTCAAACTTACTTCTTGTTCACAGTCTTATGACAGCTTCCTAACTGCCATATAGATTRGATACATTATATCAAATACAGCAAGCAATCTGTTCAATGCAGGTTTCAAACAGGACAACATCCACTAATACAAATACAACAAAACTCTCAACAAAACAGATTTCTGACAAAAATACTTAGGCTTTCAAAGGCATGAACAACCAGTTTTTTTTTTTTTTTCATTGGCAAGTAAAAAAAGCCCATCCCCTTATTATTATTTATGTATAAATAGATTACCATTTAGGTGCACTGTCTTCTAGCTTTTCCCAAATTCCTCTTCCATTCTCCCCATCTTATTTATGTATTTCAAAATATGTGTGTTACCTCTCTCCAGCCAATGCATATATTGCTACTGGCATATGCAATGTGAGCAAAATAATGCAAACTCCTTCATCCTTCAGCAATATCAGTGCTTCTTCTAAAAAATGACAACTCTCTTGATAAAAGTACAACAGATAAAATGGTGCTAACTAGGTAAAATTCTAATGCTACTGGTTTAATCTTTTGCTTCCTGTCTTAAACTGTGGCTGACAATATGCTTCTCTTTATCAGTTACTTCAGAAATTCTGTTTTATTTTCAGGAGCTTTTTTCCTTTAGTATTTAAGGTCTTCCTTTGAAAAGACTCCTTTTCCTGATTTTTTTTCCACGTGTATTATATGATAGCAGATTTGTATCACCTGAAGTCAGTATGGCACAGACTGTATTTAACAAACACAACACAGATCAAAGGCAAGAGATGAACAAGGTATGAACACATCCTGCAACGCCACATCACACAGGTTGAAGTGACTGGCAAACCTCCCTTGTGCCTGTCCACAGTCARGACAAACCGAAATGTCACCAGTTTAAAAAATTAACCGTCTGAAGAATGGCCTCTAGTATTTCGGATCCTGAATGCCTCTGGTCAGGGATTCCACCTGTAAACCAGGCGAGGGGCTTGTGAGTGGCTCTGTCTGCARGCACCTGTCACCAGCAACAAGGTAATGATCCGGTTCTTCAGCAGCCAAACCCTYCACTGCTCACCTGCACTCGCAACAAACTCCTACCTTGGCTCTGCCCTCACACTCTGAGAGGTGTTTCAAGCAGAAAAGTGTCCCTTATTTTTCTTTTACTTGGTTGTGGGGTGGGCACGGACACACACATGGCTAGAGGCCAAAGGAGGGAGAACCCGCGGCAAAGGCAGCTACCAARGAAAAGGGGTATAGGGACTTACTGTGGTCGTGTTGCCTTCAGTCACCTCCACGACTGCAAAAGAAAAAAGAGACGGGAAGCCAGAATGAGACTCACGCAGTCTGAAAAAAGCGGAATTTTGAGGGGCGGGGGGAGAGGGCGAACTACAGCGACCGCAACCATCTCTCCGCGCCAGCGGCGAGGCAAGGGAACGCGAAGCAGTGCGGGGCTCCTCCCGACTCACCCTGGCGGAGGGCTCGGGCGGGCGGCGCGGCCCAGCCGCTGCCCAGGAGCCCGGACAGGATCCGCCGCAGTCCCCCATACAGCAAGCTGGGCGCCGCCATCTTGCCGGGGCCGTCACGCTGCCGTGACGCCACTTCCGCCGCGGGGGGGCGGTGCTGCCGCCGCCATTTCGGGGCGCGTCTCCCCGGCACCCGAGGGGCAGAACAGGCAGGGAGGGGCCTGTTACACTRCTGAGTGTCTTCTTCGCAGGCTGGTCCTCCTCATTGTTTTCTTTTTCTTCTTTTAAGTTTATTTTGGTTGGTACCGATGTTCAGTTTTCTTGGGTGGTTTTTTTTTGTTTGTTTGTTTCGTTGGTTTGTTTGGGGGTTTGGAGGCTTGGGGGATGGGATTTTTTGGAGGTTGTATCAGCTTGAGATCACAGATTCAGCTAGGTTGGGAAGGACCTGTGAGGTCATYGAGTCCAGCCCATGACCGAACATCACCATGGGCACTAGACCATGGCACTCAGTGACATGTGCAATCTTTCCTTGAACGCCATGACTCCATCACCTCCCTGGACTGGCCATTTCAATGTCCAATCACCCTTCCTGTGGAGAGCTTCCTTCTAATGTCCAGCCTAAACCTCTCAGGTGCAGTCTGAGGCTGTGTCTTGTTGTCCTGTTGCTGGTTGCCTGGGAGCAGAGGCCGAGCCCCACCTGGCTACAGCGTCCTTTAGGGGAGTTGTAGAGAACAGTAAGGTCACCCCAAGTCTCCTTTTCTCCAGGCTAAATAGCCTCAGCTCCCTCAGCCATTCCTCGTAGGACTTGTACTCCAGACCCTTCACCAGCTCTGTTGCCCTTGTCAGGACTCTCTCCAGCCCCTCAATGTCCTTGCAGTGAAGGGTCCAGAACTGGACACAGCACTCGAAGTGTGGCCTCACCAGTGCTGAGTACAGGAGGGACAATCCCTGCCCTGGACCTGCTGGCCTCACTATTGCTGATAAAGGCCAGGATGTCATTGGCCTCCATGGCCACCTGGGTACACACTGGCTCTTGTTCAGGAAATCTAAAAGTAGTGCTGCCTTTGTGTTGTGTAAGCGTGAGTTGCATTCCTGCCACAGCTCCTGAATCTCCTGTCTCTCCAGCAATGGAAGGCCAAGAGGTGATTTTCCTTAAACTATATAGCTTCTCTGTTTGGATAGACTCTGAAGTGGCTCCTGCACCAAGGAGGGTTTCAGGCCAGCTATAGGATTTGGGGAAGGGGTTTGTTTCAAATCACCATTATCATATCTGTATGTTCCAGGGTTCCTGAGGTTCTGTGGTGGTGCATCAGCAGGTGACAATTTGAAGCAGTGTGTTGCCAGGCTGTAACTCTTGTAAACAATTGGTCTAGTTTAAACACTTTACATTTTTGCTTTAATATCTTTTGCCTTTGACAGCTTAAAGGCTGCTGAGAGGTCACTTTTCCCATCATCTTTCTTAGCATATCTCATCTCTTCACTTCTTATACCTGCCTTTGTTGGAAGGTAGCCTAGAGATGCCTGCTTAGACCCACATAGTCTGCTGGGATTTCAGATACCAACAAATAATTTGTCTTAGATGGTAATGCTGCATCTTCATGAAAAGCGTACTTGAGTTGAACTGTACTTGAGMGCAAAGGTCATTTATGGAGTTTCTCCAAGTGCTTGTTTGTTTTCTGTCATTTCAACTCTTCAAAAAAATCCAGAAAGTGAAAACTAACGGCGTAAATTAAAATCACTTGTGAGTCTTGCGCACTGGTGGACATTCATGCCATTCTATTTCATCAATGGTCAACAGTGCTCATCCAAGATATTTTGTATGTTTTTCTGAGTTTGTATCTAAAGTGTAGTGCAAAATGTAACCTGCAACATAAATGTAAAATTTATTGTAAAATATAACTTGATCTTCCTTTCACAGGAGGTCTTCCATCTCCTTCCTCTTGTGTGCTACACTTGCTTSTTGTTACAGTCTAGTTTGCAAATTTCTTTCTGTTGCAGGTCTAAGCACTCAACTCTGGGACTTTCCAAAGAAGTGGGAATGAAGGCAGGGCTTCTGTCCAGACCCTTGTGYTTTATGCCAAGCAGTGGAAGCAAGGCCATCCCGTTTATTCAGAGAACAAATTGAGTAAGAATGCTTGCCGGAAGAGATCTCTTCCTCTCTCACCGCTTTTATGCTATATAATGATTTCTAGAAGCAGCGTGATCTTCAACTTGTCCAAAAGCTTAAACATAAGAGCCAAACAAAATATTTACTGCCATCCAGTCTGGGAGTTATTTCCTTATGAGGAGAAGGAACATTGCTAGGCACAGTGGTGTAGTGATGTCACATTTTTATGAGTTGGGTTATTGGGTTTTTTCTTTATAAAGTGGGTTTTTCTAGGGGAAGAAACAACCTAACAGAAGAGTTTATTCAATAGCTTAAAATAAATGCAATTTCTTCTGCTGGCTTTCTTGCTTCTTGTGATTGGGAAAGCTAAAGGGATGGCTCTCTTTATGGGATGGAAACGAACAGTTCATAAGCGCAGTGCTGGCTCACCATGGTAAAGATATGTAGACAGAGGAATAGTGGCAGTCCAAAAACTTCTCCATGTCATGGAGCAGATTTTGAAGCTTTTGAAGCAGATACTTAAGCAGAAGTGTGGCTTTTGGTCAGCCACATGGTGATAGTTCAAATACAATAAGTACCCCACTTGCTAGCCTCACCTTCACTTAAAGGACTTTAAGTGACAAATAATTTAATGCAAAGAAGGAAGATTGTTGCTTTCTTAAAAACATGCACTCTTTGGGTTGAGCGATTTCTCTTCTCCTGAGATTTTTTTTTTGTCCTGTGAATATTTTCTACAACTGTTAGCAATGCAGACCTTTGAGTCCCAGGAAGACAAACAAAYCATGTGCCAATTTGAGTTGAAGCCCATAATCTCTTCCCAAATTTGGAAATTTGACATATTTCTGATTTCTTGCAGATAATTTTTGAATGTGTTTATTTCATCAAGCCCTTGTGTTCAGGRAAGAAGAAATATAGCCCTGAATACTATGTCCCTGTACATGAGAGAAAAGAAAGTGATTTTCTTTCTGTAAGCTGATTCAGCTGTGGTCTGTAATTTGTCAGCACTGCAATGGGTCATCCAGTTTACATAGAACTGGATGTTTCCAAGGAGCAGAACAGGATGTCACTGGCTGTTGAAGAATTAGTCCTTTCTCTTTTGAATAAAAATTAAACCTGGKCTCTCAAATGTGGATCTGGTCAAGAGCACGAAGTATCGTATTTTAGTTGAGAAACTTATGTCCTAATTGCTCATGGCCTCCAGAGATTTTGTGGGACTGTTCCCAAAGAAATTGTGTTCTCTTGTTTGAGCCGCTTTGGTATTACACATTTTAGATGTTCTGTGAGGCTCCATTTTTCTTTTCATACTAACTTGTGTTATGCTCTTGTCTGAAAATGGACTGTGTTTTGCTATTTTTCTTGCTTCTTGTAATGTAATAATGTATCTGGTTCCATCTGCAAAGGAACTTTTTTGGTCCTGTGAGCCTTTTCTGATCTGCTGGATGTTAATGGATGGCATGTATATCTGCTCCAGAGCTTTACCCATGCAAATAGCTTAGGAAGGCCGAGGCTGTTCTGACCAAACATGATTAAAAATCATAGGAACCAAGATGGAAAAAGCTATTAGGTGAAGTAGTTCCCACACACACCCCCAGAACCAGTGCAGGTTTGCTTCCAATGGTACATTCTTGGTGCTTTCCAGAAGGGGTCAGTGCAGGTCAGCACTCACTTTGCATCCAGCAGCCCTTCCCCCTTCTTGAAAAATTAGGAAACCTGCATTTAGTTACAAGTAGGTTGCAAAATGTCTAGAATTTATGTTATAGCCTATAATTTGATGTTCAGTGTTCAAAAGCAAAAGAAATGTGTTCAAATCCAAAAATTGATCATCCAAGATTTTAAATGAAGAAAAATAATGAGCTCTTCAAAATTACTTGCTAGAAATGTACAAATATTAGATGTTACATATCCTGAAAAAGGTAATGGGGATACTCAGCTGTAATGAGAGCAACACAGATGCACAGCCTTATCCTGTTGGGTCATCCATACTTAGAAAACACATATTATTGTAATATTTATAGTTACATAAATAAAAGTCTGGATAATTCAAATCAAATTTCCAATMATAAAAGACAGAAGTGACAAAAACTCTCTTAAGTCTAAATAAGGGAAGAGAATAACAATTGCCCTGCACCAAAATGCTGTTCATCCTCCTCATCCACTGAGATACAGGAATGTCCCTGAAGATTGTCCTTTAGGTCATGGAGGCTCCTGCAGGTTTCATCACATGTGAATCAGGTGTCTGGTCAAGAATGGCCACATCTTGTCATCAGGAAAGGCCAGCCCATTCCACACCACAACAGTGTACCCCAAATGCCTGTTTCCATGAAGAAGTGAAGTGGGATGAAAAGGTGGCTGGAGGTGGTAAGAAGGAAATGCTGCAAAGAGAGCAGAGAGAGATGGCACTCTGATAGAAAAATGAGTGACTCACTTGAATATAACTTGTTTATATTTTTAAGGTTTTCTTATTCTCCCAGTGGATATGGCTATTTTTCAAAGTAAAATAACCAAAGAATAATTTCATTACATTTCCTTCCAAGATTTCAAGCAAAGTGTAAACAAGAAAAATCCAGTGGGAAAATTAATCCAACTTCYTTCTGTGAGAGCATTTCAGTTCTGTTTCTCTCCCCACCACTCTCCTTACAGATTTTCACTGCTACTGTTCTTATACCCAGTATCAGTGGCATTGCTGATACATGCTAAAATACCTCAATGATGGCATTTATTAGAGGGAGAAGACTTTAGTATCACTCAAAATAACTTCTGATACAGAAATTACAAATTCCAAGCTTTTCAGTAGTTAAAAAATGCTAATGACTTTTGATGCTTTGGAAATRTTCCATGTGGACAAGTCAAAATGATGAAAAACAACTGAACCACTTGCACTGGATTTGATCTCTGGCAATTAATATTTGGGCTGCATGGGAGAATCATAAGGAACAAAAAATCTGTAACAATACCATGGCAATCAGACYGGCAGACTTCCAAAGTTTTAATTTTTCCAGATGTTAAGTGCCTTGATTTTCCAATCCAGGTGA